TTACATTAAAATATTTAGGCCAGAAAAGTTAACTAGACTAAAAGACACCATTTTTTTTACATCTCTCCCAATCGATTTGCTTTGGGCTGGCTCCGTGGGTAGGCCAGAGATAAAACCACCAAGAGATACCTTTCTGATGATACCGCAGAATTAAATACCATCATAAAACCTCAACTCATTCAAACTAACTAGACAGACCGGGGGGCAGGGGGGAGAGGGAGGGGGAAGACGTGAACTCGACAATCTTCTCTTAATTGCTCAAGAGAATCAAAACTGAAAATTACTTTCAGTTACAACCCAAACACACCAAAATTCCACACTAATGAAAAATAAATAAATAGGTTTTATTGTTTGGGTGAACTGGAACACACGTAGTTGATATCCAGAAAATGGTATCACATTAATTCTAACTAAATATTGTCATTCAGCTTTGTTTCCCCTTACGATTCCAAGAAAAACAAAGAAGAATCTGTAGACCTAATTGTCAGGTCCTAACCCAACACAAACTCCTCCATATTAGATCTGAGAGGCCAGAAGAACAGAGTTTTTCTTTAAACATTAACCCATGCCACCTCAGGCTGCAATTTCTAAATCTGACAAGTGTCAGTGGAGACGCTCACACATGACCTTCACCTCTCCGAGCTGACATATTAAACTCAACTTACGATTTCCAATTATCTTTGACAACGGGAAGGAGTAACAGTAAGAGAGGAAGAAGCAAGTTATCTCTTCCAAATTTTGAGATTTACGTATTTTTAAATAACTTTAAAATTTTTTTTCAACTATTCTCAAAACACTTGCCTCAAATAAGTAACTGACTTACCAACATAAAGTGATCTCTATAAAAATCCTCTAGCGTTGTTACAAATGTTTACTAATTTTACTTCCCCTTCATATCAAGGTGACTTCACCTATATACGAGAATTCAAATCTGGCACTCACAGTGGTGTCCAATAATATCCTGGGGTCGTTCAATGAATGCTGAAATGGTAATATCTGGTAAATTCAACACAGTTTTAAACAAAGTAGTTAGCCACTCAAGTAAAGACTCCAGAAACTACTATTCACCAAGAAGTTTCTGACAACCAAAAATATATATATCAGTTTTACAAGCTGAGGAAAAAAACTAAGGTCCCAAGAAATATAACAATTTGTCCAGAGGCACCATTAGACTCAGACTTAGCTGGAGAGACACTCAATGGCACAGATTCCAGTTCTAAGTTATGCTGACTATAATCATGTCTTCATATCAAATAAAAAAAATAGTCAAACTTGAATCAAATGCACATTATATTACAGAAACATCCTGCTCTGTTCATCAGTCCACTGAATCGCTTCTGAGATTTTGTTCAACCTTTAACCCTGTGGATACCACACTGTATTGAAATTGTTTCATCTTTACCAATGTTTTACCCACAAGATAAGAAACCACTGAGCTCCTTGGGGACAGGGACTCACCTCATTCAATTAAGTACCTGCACATAATATGTGCCAACACTAACATAAAGGTCCTCAACAGATGGCCATTTTCAGGAACAAAATGTAATCTATTTGACACACAGCATTTCTTCCATGGCACAACTTACAGCGCTATTAACAAGTGAAATTAAGATTTGATGATTTAGGCCAATTTGCATCAGTACCAGTCACATTTCTAGAGGGCACATTTGGTTTCTCCTAACAAATGCTTCCTCTTTAGAAAATTCCTGAGGCTCTTCAAACAGAAAATCTACCCCCAAAAAACCTTCCATTTGTAGGGCCATAAAAATATGTAGGAAGTTAAATCCATTGGTCTGGACAAAAGTCAGAAGATTATCAACAAGGAACATTTCCTTATGCTTGGTAGCGGCTAATACATTTAAAAAATTACAACACACCAGCCAAACAAGCTTTACTATCTCTGAACCAGACACGCTGTGTGGCTAAGCTGACAAGCCCTAAGCAAGTTGATCAAGAATCACTATGGCAGGAATTCACACGAAGTGAAATTAAAACAAATGGGAACTCGCATTAAACTGCCAATGGCCTATAAAACTTCAGTGGGGTAGGGGACAAGTGGAGGGATGTGAATATTTTCCACAACCCCTGTATCTAAAACTGGCACAAGAAGTGTGGGGAAAAGAGAAGGTGTTTATTTTTCAATCACACAAAGGATTTGCTACAAGGTTTTTCCTACTCTGCTGGGTCCTTTCTTGTCCTCTGGATGAAACAAATCCACTTCTCAATGCTAGGTCGGTTTGTACAAGTCTTACCTAGAAGGATGGTATCTTTTAACCCTCTTTCTGGACACACATCAGCCTGTTTAAAATATGCCAAATGACCTGCTTAAAAAAAAAAAACCTGCCACTCGTTCTAACTACGACTCAGACCAGCTGGGACCAAATGGAGTTGGGAGTGGGAAGGATCAGTAAGAGCCCCAGAGAGAAATGAAACAGTGAGGAGAGACCCATAGAAAACCTACCTGGAAACAATTCATCATCAAGTGAAGAGTCTAAAGAGAAGTCCAATGAAAACGTATGTTTGATCAAGTGAAAAGACAGCAGTCTCCTCATCACAGAGCCTCCTCTGTGGGAAGCAAGACTGGGAGGGGCCACGATTACCTGAGCAGCCTTTTATGAGGGGCGGAGTTAAGGATTCCTGTCCCAGCCTCCCTATACTGCAGTCAGCTTGGTTTGCATAAATGAACATGTGGGTTATCTTAGTGGCTGCTTCCATCAGGTACAAGACATCAAATCTTTAAACCACTGAAGATGACATAATGACGAGAAGGATGATGTTGATAACAACTAACACTCAATGAGTACTTGCTACATACTAGGCTCAGTAACTCATTTAATACAATAGTCCCATGAGGTAGGAACCATTATCATCCCCTTCTTATAGATAAGGAAAGTAGTAGAGAGAGCAACTTGTTCAAGGACAAAAAGCTAGTATATGTTAGAAGCAGGTCACTGAACCCAGGAAGTCTGACTTTAGAGCCCAAGCTCTTCATATCACTTACTCCAGGCACTGTGTCCATATAGAAACTAGAAGCGTAAGACTCCCTAGTTATGAATTATTGGTTCCACACCTCACCTGGGTGAGGACCCTAAATTTGAGGCCTTTTTAGGGACTCCATATGAGGTGCCAACTTTCCAGACCCAGTGCTAGCCCGCTCCTCTCATGTCCTCCCTGCAGCTTGCCTCCCTGGCCAAGTTTTACTGGAAACAGGTTGTGACATTCTACTCAGGTGTGCCAAGAGGCCCCAACTGCACTGAGGGCCAAAAAAAAAAGAGCAGGGGACTGACTTCATCTTGGGACATGCTAGCTCTCAAGTTTCCAGCCTGCTTCAATACAGAGAGGTGTCGCCACACACAAGCAGGACAGGAACACCACCAAGAGCTTCACTGCCCTGTAAGCCCGAGGCCACCCCAGCAGGCACGAAAGAGTATTGGAGATGCTCTGGTTTCAGAGTTCCCCTCAGGAGCTGGTCTTAGCAGACAGAGAGATGGAGAGGAAAGGCATCATCTTTTCACTGCACCAAGCGACATTAATGCCACTCGACAGGAAGGAGCAGAAGACCTGTCTCTGTGTGGAGAAGGAAGGAAGAGAGGAAATGTAAACGTGCCAGGAGCCACTCACCACATCTGGTCCTGCACCAGTACCTTTGCAGCTATCACTCTAGGAAGGCCCAGCAACTGCTCTGCCGACCACAGCGGTAGCCGCGCACGTCCAACGGTGCTGAAAACTGAAGCCAGCACCAGTGGGTCTTGATTCCACCCCTGAGCTAACACATGGCTCCTTAATGCTCCTTTCCCATGTGTTAATCTTGCAACAGAATGTGGGACAGAAGATTTATAAAGCTGGGTGATGGGGGAAGGGCAGCCAGATCACCTTACTCCCAGGCTTTTCGATCAAGCCTCCTCAGATTCCCTTTAGTGGCCTGTATTATTAGCTTCAAGGGAGGTTCCCCCAAACTGGCATTAAAAGATCATGTGTTCCATTCAGCTGGGGGGAGGGGAGACTTGATGCGGGGCGGGGGAACCCTGGAGAGCCAAGGCAAAGCACACACTCTCTCATCCTGCACAGGAAGGCCATGCCTTACTCCAGGGGGCGAGCTGTGCTCTCCAAGGCTCTGACAAGTAGAGGTACCAGCAGGATGCACCCTGGGGACCCAAGGGCTGGAGGCTGTTCCTGCAGAAAATGAAAACGAAGGGAAAGCAATGGGAGAAACCCAAGTTAAAGTGATCACCACGTCATGGACCCAGTCCAAATTGGAGCCCAGCAAGGTCCCCTTGCGGTGTCCACGCCCACCAGTCCGCGCTTAGGTCTACAGTGGATCAGGCAGGAAAATCCTGGAGACCAACTCCACGCCCCCCGCCGGCCCCACCCTTAGGGCCTCTAATTATTACTGCCTTATAACCTTGTCCCCCTTTCACAGATGGGAAAACTGAGGCATCCAAAGCAAATGCCATGCTTTCCTAAACCAGGTAGAAGTTCACTTCCCTAACCACAATTTTGCACTTTTTCACAGCTCTATCACATTTCAGATTTCACCAGATACACCTATTGCCTCTGCAAAGTTAATCTTAAATACAGTTTAAGGAGTGAACTAAAAAATGTGATGAGGGCGGTCAGGGAGTCCGGCAGGGCTTTATCTGTGGCAAGGACAGGATGGGTGCCCCCCCCCCCCAGCTTCTCCTCCAACCCGGTCCCCCGGGACGTCCGGGTTCTGCCTGCCCCCCAAGACGCTTCCACCGCAACCCGAGGGCGGAGGCGCAGCGGCTCGGCCCGGGGACCGGCAAGCGGGGTCCCGGGTCCCGGGGCCAAGAAGGGGGCGGGGGGCTCGGGGCCGCGGCCGGCCCGCCCTGCCCGGTGGCCGGGAACTTCTGGCGGCGCCGCGCCGCCCCCGCCGCCCCCACCCACACCGGCCGCCGGGCGGGCGTGCGACTCGGGTTTCCCTTTCTTCGCCTCGCCGCGCCTGGGGCGCGACCCCCGAGGCGGCGGCGGCGGCCACTCACCATATTACAGATGGAGGCGATGTTTCGGACAGTCATTAGTCTAAAGGTTACAGCGATCCCGCACCGCCATCTTTATAAGGTGAAAACAGGACCGGCCATGGTGAAGCGCTCGCGGGGAGGCCGGGCGCGGCGGCGGCAGCGGCGGCGGGGAGGCGGCCTGGGGTCCGGCTTTCAGTTTGGCTGGGAGAGGGAGGCCGGGAGGGAGGAGAGGAGGAGGGGAGGGCGGGGAAGGCGGGAGGCGGGAGGGAGAGCGGAGGGGCGGGGAGTGGCGGAGCGAGGGAGCCTGGGCCGCGGCCGGCGGCGCCGGGAGGAGGGGCGGTCCGATCGCCGCGTGCAGCCCGCGCCCCGAGCGCTCCCGCCGCGCGCCCGGCCTCGACCCAGCCCCGACCCGGCCCCGGCCCCGGCCCGGGTCCCCGCGGCTCCTCCTCTCTCCTCTGCCCGCCCGCCCGCGTCCCCGGCCACCCCGGCTCGGCCTCTTTTCTTTTTCTCTTCTGATGTCCTGCTTCACTCTGAACGGGTTGGAATGCGCGGCCAGGCCTTCGCTCGCACGGCTGCCGCAGGTCCCCCGCGCGGACCCCGACGCATCGGCGGCCTCCTCCGGCCCGCGGCACCGCCCGGGAAGCAGGGACCACGCCCGCGTGGGGTGTCGGCCGGCGGAAGGGGCTGCCCTCGGGCCGGGGAAGCGGGGCACGTCGCTGGGGACAGGGGGCCGCTTTCGGTCTTCATTTGTTCTTCTTTCCTGCCGCGCGGCCCCCAGCAGCCCCGGGTTTTTATGTTTGGGCGAGTGGAGGAGGCAAGGGGTAGGGGTGACTACATCCAACTTTTCGTTTCTCCCCGAGGCTCCAGCCAAATGGCACCCGCGGGGACCCAAGAAGTAAATGGGGTCAGGACACGGGAGTGTCCAGAGCCCTGGACAACGCGGGCCGGCTGCCTGATCGAGGGCGGCGGGAGGGGACAGGAATCTGGGTCTAAGGGGAAGCCAGCCACGGCGCGCTCGGCCAGTTTGTGACATTAGCAGGTACAAAGGGAAAGTCTCGGTTCTGGACAAGGACTAGGGACGGTCCAAGGAGCGATTTGAATCTAGAAAGAACGAAAACCAAACTTTTCCGCGTCTTCTAGAAATACCTACCTCTCATGCGGGCACCCAACCTCTTCAGGTTTTGAGAAGGGTCATTGTATCGGCTTATACACATTTCCTGCATAAAAGGTCGTGGGTTTTGACTCAAAGCGCGAACCCACACCATTTAGCAGATATGTTCCTGTGAAGTGGGGGAGCCCATTTCCGAAGGTGTGAAACAATTCTCATACAAGGTTGCAATTCAGTGCTTTCAACAGAGAAGTTGTACAAGCGCAACGCGTGATAATTCTTAAACCAATATATTTAATGACAAATCGAATTAGAGGAGAAGTTAATATAATTGAAGATAGCTTTTATCTAACCAGGAGGAACATACTGGGAAAATAGCACGCTTCCTGTCCTCCATTATCTATTTAGTGTTAGGCATTGTAAGATTTGAGAACCATCGATTGCTAACATCCCTAGGACCTGGGATGGAAATTAAGACAACAGCGACTAAAGTTTTCTTGGGGTCATCTTGGCTCTGTATATTTAATGGATTTAAGGAATAAATTCCTGCTTATGTTGAGTCATTCTGCCTACATCTTATTTCCAAACAGATCCTGAGGATGATAATAGCTCGCTTTAATTTTTTACCATTGTCAATCATGATGCTCTTTACATTCATAATCTTCAGGCACCAACATAATCATCATGTAATAGATGCTATTATAATCGCCTTTTGTAGATCAGTAAAATAAGGCTTAGGGTATCAAGTATCCTACCTCAATCATGTTCCCCAAATGTTACAACTGAAGTTAGTGTGCTAATCTGGCTAAGCACCTTAAAGACAGGAGAAGGCAGCAAAACACCCAACCTATGGCCAGTTGGGTAACTGACACCTGGAAAGGTTTAAATACTTGAGGAAAGTCATAAAACAAGTTCAGGAGCAACCTCAAGGCTAAAACTCAGGCCTTGGGACTCAATTTCACAGACATTCCACTATGAAGGCATTAATCCAAAACCTTAAATGATATGGAAATTTTATACCATAATAGAGTTCAGTATTTCTGCCAACATTGGCATAATGGATGGCAAAGTCCACTGGATTGAAAATGCCATTGACATAATGAAAGTTGAACATCACTCGATTACTGAGTGCTACGTTAGCAAGGCATCCTTTGCATGCCTTTTAACAGCCTAAAGCCTAAAACTGAAGTGTTCAATATAGACAAACATCCAGATTGAAACTCAGGCAGTGAATTACAAACACAGCAAATCAATTTAACACAGCAGATCTTGTCAGACTCATGAATAATTAAATACATTTTTTACACCACTACAAGGTTGGTATTCACAGATCTAAATTGGAAAAGGCATCAGTTGAAGAATAATTGTAACCTCAGCCTTGTTCAGGGAGGAAACATTACTTGGAGGTGGTAAGAGGTAAAATGATGAAAATGTTGACAAGCAAATGAGAGAACTTTGAGGAAAAGTGTTCCACATATAGGGGCCAGCTGGTATAAAGGTATAGAGTTAAAACTGGGAAAAGTGGGCAAATGGAGAGACGGAACATAGGCTAGCACTAAACAGATGAAAGCACATGATCCAGGCCTGGCCAATGAGAGCACCTCATGGCCCAGTCACAGTGACCGGTTCAGCTAGGAGGATGTAATATAAACCGAGCCAATGAGAGTTGGCCCTGGGTCTTTGGGGAAAGAAGTACTCCCCTTCCTGAGTTTGCTGAGCTGATATGATAAAATCTAGAGCTGCCATCTTTCCACTTCCTGAGAATGAAGAAAAATAAAGCTGAGAAATGTAAAAGAGATCCTAACGACATCATTTATCCTGTGGCTGCCAGATCTGTATCCTGGACTCTTCAGCAACTCAAGGTGGTAAAGTCCTTATTTTCTCTGGTAGTTCAAATTGAGTGTCTGCTGCTCACAACTGAAACAATTCTAATACACCATTGTCTCCCTATGTCCAAAATTCATTAGGTTCATTCTGAATTCATGGTGTTTCCTTTTCCTCTCTTCTCTACCCATTCCATGGATTTTTCCAGGTCTTCCTCCTCTAGATCTGCCTCCTCTGTGATGCCGTCCAAGATTGCTTCCCACCACCACCAATGAACTAAATCCAGGCGTTTCCATGCTCACCCTTCTGTCGTTACCAGTTTTGTGTCAGTGCCCCCTCCTGCTTCCCCTCTTTGTTTAGTTAACACCACTCAGCCTTCAGATGACTTGAGACAAGATGGGATGCCTTTGTCGTATGTTCTTACAGCACCATCAATCTTCCCTTCATGGACCTTATATTTGTGAATATGCTTATGCCATCTAGCACACAGCATGGAGGCAGTAGAATGGGTGGTTAAAAAAATGAATCCCGGATCCAGACTCTCTGGACTAGGTGTATGATCTTGGGCAGGTGTCTTAACTTCTCTATGCGGAAATTTCTGTATCCATAAAAAGAAGAGGCCCCTTCATAGAGTGTTATTATATAGAGTACAAAAAATATGCCTGACATGCACTAACCACTACATGAGTGACACTGCTATCATCATTGTGCATGTGATTGATTGATTAATGTGTGCTTCCCAACCCTCATTAAATATGAAGTGAGAGGTCTGTTTTTGCTCACCATTTTACACCTAAGAAGGACACAGTGCCTTGTCCATAAGAGCAGCCAAGAAATCAGATATTAAATATTTGGACAGTTGCCTCTCTCCAAGTGGCCTGGAAGCTCCTGGAGGGAAGGAATCTTGTCTTGTGCATTTAAAAAAATCTCATCCGGTCTCAGGCACTGTGCCTGGCACATTCGTTCCTTTCCTTTTTTTCCTCATTGCCAAATAGGTTATTGCAGCTCATGTGAGATGCAAGTGCTAGTAAACATTTGGCTGTCTCAGGGGAAAACATTTTCCTGACTGTACTTTAAAACCAAACTGGTTTCTGAGGATTATATTTCAATTCTTTGAGGAACTTTATGACAGCCTTTTCCCTTTTTCATCATGTATCAAACAAATCCCGAAGACATGCTTTGGGCCAGATGCTGTGTGAGGCGCCGGTGGTCCGAGGATAAGAGAAGGCAGTCACAGCACTCGTACTGCTCAATTTCTAATGTGAAACTGTTTATGAATGTCTTCACTACTTTTTGCATGCACTTAGTATAAAATAAGGATAAGCTAACTTTGGAGTGAGTTCCTACGACGGGGAAACTGCATCTAAAATCATGCGTGTATTTATGCGTGGTTAAGATTCCCTAAGTCTTTGAAACAATTGGCTTATTTTGAAGTGCCGAGTGAAATGCCATTGAAGGACTCTTAAGCTAGGTTGGAACATGATTCGATTTCTATTTGTTAATACATTTTGATTAACTGAAAGAAGAGATGACTCTAGCTGGCTACTGTGTGGGGAAAGAGGGTTGAAGGAGAGCAAAAGGGCTCTAGGGGAGGCCAGTTAGAAATCTGTGGAGGAGTCCCAGAGCTGCTGGGAGCCTGGGTTTACGTAAGGAATAGCAATGGAAAGGGGAGAAGCAGATAGATCAAAGACATTTTTTTGGAGGTAGTTAGCTGAGTTTGGTGATTTACTGGGATGAGGGACAAGGATAAGTCAAAGATGAGACCCAAGTTTCTGACTAGATTGAAAAGGAATGTCATTTTTTATAATAGGGAATGCTGGAGGAGAAGGTGCAGGTGTAGGTGGTTGAGAAGTGAACTTGGTTTCCGAGGTGTTGCGTTGGAGATAACCATGAAACACCTGAAGAGTTATATCAGGTACCACTGGGGCTCAGAAGAGATGTCTGGACTGGAGATAAACCTAAAGGTAATTAATAGCTAGAAGATAACAGAGGACATGTGGTTATGGATGAAATTGCCTAGGAAGAGTTTGGCCAAGGAGGTTTTCTTTTTTTTATGGATTTATTTATTTATTTATTTTTGGCTGCATTGGGTCTTCCTAGAGCGCAGGCTCAGCAGTTGTGGCGTGCAGGCTTACTTGCTCCGTGGCAGGTGGGGTCCTCCCAGACCAGGGCTCAAACCTGTGTCCCCTGCATTGGCAGGCGGATTCTCAGCCACTGCGCCACCAGGGAA